ATGAACGATCTCAGGCCGAATTTGGCATTTATTAAGACAAAAATGATATGGAGAATAAAGCAAGAAATTGCAGTTATGTTTGAACTAAACAAAGCAACGAAAAAAGTCAGTTATTGTAACTCAGTAACTTAACTCAAAATAATTAATAATTTTTTAATAATTTTTATATATATTTTTGTTATTATTATTTTATTTTTATTTTTTATTTTTATTTTATAATTTTCTTAAAGAATTTTTTCATATTTATCAATCTAAATTTTTTTCGTCCTTAAAGATAATATGCAAAAAATTTACAGAATGAATGCTCTTTCAGAGATATCGGTACTCTAGCGTCGAATTCAGTTTTTTCTAGAACCTTGAATAAACGTTCAATGTTAACGAATCCGTAGTATAGAACGAATCAAGGAGATTTACAATTTCTTGAGAGGCTGCCGAAAAAGTCCTAGAAATGAATGTCAGGAAGTTCATAGCACTTTACCATGAGAGCTCAGGATCTTAGCTTTTCAGATCTGCAATATATCGTACATCGGGGATAAAAAGAAGTCTGTTATTCTTATATGATAACTAGTGCCAAACTGTGCTACATTTGACTGTGCACCTCAGGCCACGCACTTGGAAACCACTCTAAAGAAAAATTTGAGGTGATAATATGTAACGGCTCCAAATTTTTACAAAATCTAAGGGGCATTTCCCCAATACGTACTATTCAGAGCTGTTTTATTCCGATCTGAGTTTCTAAAAAGTTTACTGGGTAGTGTCTTTTCATTAGAAGTTTGAACAACATCAACTCGGAAACGTAATCTTTTTCCTCTGAAATATTAAGTTGATGCAAATCTGTTGCATCATATTTGAAAAATCGTAACTCCTTGCTTTTTCAACGGATTTACACAAACTTAATTTTGTTTGATAGAAGACCTTCTCATTGTAATAATTTGTGCTTGCTGTTTTTCAATAAGGGATAGCTCTTGAGATGGAAGCAGGAGTATAAGATTACTTTGATTTCGGACATTTTGATTTAGGCTGCTAAAAATCTAAAATTCGCGATGAAATTTCAAGCTAAAGTCCTTTAATCTACAATTTTTAGCAGTGCAGAGTTTTCTCAAAAAAGAAAAATCTCTGTGAAGAATTATGACTGTTGGCTAAGCAATACAAAACGGCAAATTTGATTTTTTGGCATATTTTTCAAAATCGTAACTCTTCACAAATATGCTCCTTTGACAGAAACGCCGCACTGTTGCAAACTGTGGATCAAAAGGCTTACCTATACTGCTTGCTCGGGATTTCATTGCGAATTTCAGATTTTTAGCTGCTTAACTCAAAATGAGCGAGGTTGAACTAATTTTATTCTTCTGCTTCTATCTCAAAAACCTCAAAAGCGGCCCTGCTCCTTATTAGAAAGCATCAAACGCACTATTACGAAGAGAATTGTTTCCTCTATCTAACAAAATCAAGTTTGTGAGAATCGTTGAGAAAGCGAGAAGTCATGATTTTTCAAAAATGACGCGACAGAACTTTGCATCAACCTTATGGATGCATCAGATGAAGTTTAATACTTTACTATCAACGCAAATGTGTTGAAACATGGCGAAATAACAATATTAATATATATAATATAATATCATTTTGTTACATATACGTTGGATGGAATACGATATACAAACTCGAAATCTATGGTATAGTAATACAGATAGCGAATGCACCAATGAATTTGTTATATTATACGTATATTACAACACTAAATGGGCATTATATAATATATATTTAATGGTGTAATATTTTATTATATATATTATGTTTTATATATTATTGCATATATAATATATTATCGTGTAGATGCAATATGTACTGTACATATGTTTTATATATAATATATAATATATGTAATTTGTTATACATAATATCTAAATGAAAGTTGCATTTAATTATAATAATATATTATGTATTACTACTACAACACATATCTGTCGTCTTCTCAAGGGGACTAGATAGGCTTCAAATGACTACGTGGCCATCATAACAATGCGCAAACCTATCTCAAATGGATGGTACGTGCTTTTTCGCAAAGTACGGGGCCCATAGCCCGGTTCTCAAGCGGGGGTCTCTTTCGGGGTGTCCGATAGCCATCATCAACAGCCGTAATTGCACGTAGCCTGCGCACCTGCGACGGAATCTCTCGTCCGGAGACGTGCTGCCCGGGAGAACATCTCGCACTCGACCCGCAGTTCCAGCACAAACAATGGCGGCTGAGGTCGCCGCGCACCCGCAACGTACCCGGGCGACGTGCGCACGCGCACCTACGCCCGGGATTGACACCGGCAAGGCTGCGATCGTAATTAGGATATGCACCGAGCTGTAGGCCAGATCTCGAGATAAGCAACAGCTGATCATTATGGAAGAAAATATAGAATTAAACAATAAGCCTTGCAAAAAAGGATTCAGAAAAATTGTTTTTAGTATGCCTAAAAGAAATCCTTTCTTTTATATTTTACATAGCAAAGTTGTGCTCTCTATCCAATTCAAAGCCATTATTTAAACAATTTGACGATTTAAGTCGAAAATTTCGCTGTTCTAAAAATATCCGAAAGAAAAAATTGAACCTGAAAAATCAGATCATAAAGCCAAAAGTTGGACTTTCTGATAACATTCTAGCATTTATATAGATCGAAATTTGTACATGCCAGAATTTTTTGCTTCAAATTGCTGCTAAAAAAGACATTAGGCACGAAATCGGAAATTTTTCTATTAGGTTGTTGCAAAAATAATGTCCGTTTTTCTAGGCCTATATTTCAAACAACTTTTTTCCATCGAACTTTCTTTTTCGATATAGAATTTGCATATCATTGGAAAGCTCTCTTCATGTACTTTCTAATGATGGTGGAAATAGGCTGCTATCCTCATCTGTGAGAATTTCACCAGCGTCTCGCATAACTGCACTCCAAATCGAAATTTCGATGCTTGAGTCTCCGTGGCCACAATTCAGGAGCAAATAAACGAATTCTTCTGAAAACATAGCATTTCTATTGGATGAAGATTGTTTACCTACTGCGTGCTTATGTGGATTTTTGGAAATATCTGGACTGAGAAATGGACGCCTCGAAAGAGATACTCACTGCTGGCATTCTATGGATCAGAAATTTCTCATGATTAAAGCAATCGCCAAAGCTTCGCCCATTTCTGTAAGCTTGAGACTAGCGCACCTCAACTACAATATTTGAAGAGAAACTCAGCTATTCAGTGCGCGAAGAATTTCAAATTTTTACAATTTGACACTTACAAGCCTACAACAAGTAGGCTTAAAAAAGTGAACTTTTTTGAATTTTTGTCTTTTCTTTTCGCAGAGCTCTTTCGTTGGAGTCTTTTCTATACCCTCATAAACTCTTGGCCTGCTGCTACAAAATAAGCTGATTGCCAGCCATGCGAACAAAACTTGAAGGGAGTTGTAAGCTCTTAAAAAAGAGGTTTTCGAGAGAAAAACTTTTGGATTTTTGACGCGTGGTTTTCTTCCCAACTGCGGTATCAGTATGAGCAGGAGCGCGCTAAATTACGAAAGGTTTGCTGTTTCTGATGGTCTTGAATGCATTGAAAAATATGAAGACTGAACGAAGTTATAGCCTTCCAAAGTGAAAATTTGCAAAACGGACATTATTTTTGCAACAACCTAATACTTTTTGAAAATTCTGGGCGTTGAACTGAGGGTATCACCTTGGTATTTCCAGCAAATATATAACTGTGTCGTTGGCATCCCCTTCTGGGGTGTTCCTTATCACATTTGAAAAGACTTTTGGTATTCTTTCCAGCAAAGCATACAAATTGTTTTTTCTTTTCTATTCTTTTTTCTCAATCAGATGCCAACAGCAAGTCCATCGTCTTCAATATCTTCTTTTAGCTGATGCAAAGGCTGTAAAGAATCTTTCTTTTGTTACGGAAACATTTGAGAACCATTTGAAGGACGAACAGCTAATTTTGCTTTCACGAAAGCAACTTCTTTCTGTCACTGAGAATCTGCTCATTATCCTTGCTTATCATTTGCTATCATCTAAAAGAGTCAACTAGTTCTTTGTAGTATTCGCTGCTTTTATGATACACGCGACGCGACGAATCTGTAGTCGGAAGGCATTTTTTTAGCTTACTTTTGTTGCGCTGCTTTTAGCAAGTAAAAGTCGAAATTCGATGGAAGTGGTTGAGTAACTTGCTGCATATAAAGTGCAAAAAAGCCGAGATTTAAAGAAGGAAAATGACTGTTTTCTTGGCCTTATTGATCAATGGCGGCTTTCGAGGAATACGATTGGGCTTCACCTAGAGTTTGGCACTTCCCAAAAGTGCTTGAAGGATCTAACCATCTGCGTTGAGTTAAGCAAATTTTGATTATATTTTGAAATATCTTGATTATGATATCCAAAAATACCAATGTCAATGAGTTGCCTCTCCCTCGCCAAATAAATTAGATTCTTAAAAAACGGCCAGAAATAGCTTTAAATGTCCATGCATTTTAGCTTTTTTCTAGTTTTTTTAAACAAACTCTGAAGCTATTTCACAATTTTTTGAGAGAATTTCTTACATTTCATAAGCAAAAAGCCTCCAATTTTTTCAATTTTCTTCCATACGAATATTTTCCACCTCGAAAGCACAAATACACACCTTTTCTTACATTTTCTAAGCAAATGTCTTGCAATGTTAGGATAAAGGTAGATCCAACATCAAGGGGTGGGTCAAGAGCCCGTTCTTGTGATCCGGACGAAAGGGGGTTGATCCATCCGATCGAGAGCGGTCACTTGCCATCTTTGGGCACATGGGGGGCAATATCGAGTGGCCCCACCCATTTACCTTACTATATATTACTAGCCTCTTTGCATTCATTCATCTTTTGTTCTCACTTAAACGCCTCGCTTATTCTGCAAAAGGCGTTAGTAAACTCTCTATTGTTCTCTTTTTCGGTACAGGACCAATTATGGTTTGTTACGCTATGAAAGTGTTGGCAACATTTGCTTTGTTAGATAGTTATGTACATTGTAACACTCTCTACTACTCGCTTAGCAAACATTTGGGTGGTAAAACTCGTCCTTTGATCTATGGGGAGAATGCTAGGGAATTCGCCCCAATTTCTCCTAAACTCCATGTTTCACATATGATAAATCATATATAATTACATACAGCTGCCCCCACTCCAACCACCCCCACTTTGCTTCTGAAAAAAAAGCAGCCGCTGAAAAGCCGAAAGCAAAATGCGCCTATTCATGCCTTCTCCTCAATCCCCCTTCAAGCACCTGGACACCTCCTCTTTGGCCTTACAGACCGGTCCTCATCCCCCCTATCGCTCTACACGTGGAGAACTTTCACGCATCGTTATTGCCTAGATCGTGTGTCATATTTGGCTTTTGATCTACCTTAATGATTAAATTTGTTTATTTTCAGAAAAAAATCATATTGTCCAGGAACGAAGGGCTCAAAGCTCAAAATATTCCTGCCTGTCCTGCTCACTACGCTAGAAAAAATTCACAGTGAGTTCTTTTTCATTTTTTTGGACAATTTTTCTTCTGCTGATATGCTAAAATTGTTACTCATGAGAAAATTCAAGTTTGTTTACTGAGATAGGTTCAATTTTATAATCTATTTTAATAAGCAAATCTTCTCATCTTTCACAAAATGTGCAAAGTAAAATTACCGCAGGTTTTTGAACAAAAATGAATTTGTTCATTTTATATTGAAAAAAAAAAGCATATCACTCTTCCTTCCCAAATTGAGGATCTCAGGCAAGAAAGTCTTCATCAAATTTTTTACAAAGTTTCTTTTTCATAGTTATCCTTACTTTTAACTTCAACATTGCGCATATCCATAACTAAGCCACAATTTTTGTCTTAAAAATGAGATTATTGATTTTCAAGCATTTATGTGGTTTTTATGGCTAACATACGAAAAAATGGGTTATATCCGTAGTGCACGCTGTTTCATTGCATGTGACAGCTAGCGGAAACTAGAGAAATTTATACGAGGGTTGGGGAGGGGGGGGGGGGGGGAACGGGCCTAAATTGATGTCATTAAATTGGAGTTTCTAGTGCGTTAATTTGCTTTGATTTTGGATTGAATGAAATCGTTGGTGGCAACTTGGTGGCAGCTTGGTGGGGGCGGCAGTGGTCGCATGGTGGCAGCATTTCTTTTCCCCTTCCCCCCCCCCCCCCCTGGCGTCTTTACATTTTTCTTGCCGTAAACGTTATGTTAACCATAAATAGAAAATTTTATGATGCGCCATTCGTTCGCTGCGCAATGCCATTCGTTTCTCTTTAAGCAATTGCGCTTTTGTTCGTAAAAATCGTCAACGCGAATCGTTGCGTCGTCGTCGCGCATACAACAGACCATTATACAATCAAAACGGGGTGCTATACGACAAAACGACACACATAGGGTGCTTTTTTGTAACAACCACGATCTCGTCCAATTCTCATCGGCTATGTAGCGCAAGTACTGGAACCCGTCACGCGCACGCATTGCTCCCGGATTAGAGCGTTTATTTGGGAACAAATGGCACAATAATGGCGGTGTTCTGCAAATGTAGACAATTTGAGCCATTTTTGGTGTAAGACTATAGAAAATGCGATTTTTCTAATACCATAGCCTAAAAAGAAGTTTGTCCCCCTCCTCCTCTCATCCGCTCTTCCTCCCCACTCTTCCTTTTTCTCTCTGCCATCCTTTATTCGAAAAAAACCACAGAAAAAGGCTAGTTCGGACTAGTTTGCCCTTCCCCTCCCATTTGCTTTCCCATACCACATCTTTTATATTCTAGAAAGGCAGCAAAATTTCTTCTTATATACAAAAATTTTATCCACAAAAAATAATGAAAAATGCAAGTAAAATCCAAGTACAAAATCGATTCATTCAATTAATTTCCTTTTTCATCTGAGGAGTTGTGTAATGAATAAAATACACAAAAGGCTTGAATTCTCTTCAATTGTCCAAGTACACCTCATCTTCCGCTTTTCTTCCCCCCCCCCCCTCCTCCCTTCCCCTTTTCACCTTCCATTTGGGGCTACAAGAACTTTGAACTCAAAAGCCCAACACTATTCGTTTAGAGTCAAGAAAAAAGGCACTTGTTCAGCAAATTAGCCAAAATTTTGCATTCGAGTTCATTCTTACAATTTTTTCACCCCTTCCCCTTGTCTCGCGGGTAAAAAACCCGACGTTGTCCTTAGAAAGAGAACCTAGACACTTCAAAGAACATTTTTCTCATTTTTATTCTTAACTATACTTTTCAAGAACAAAAGACTTGATTGGTCACAGTTCACATCGTTTTGCAGTCTTTCAAGTCATTTTCTACTAATTTTATAAGCTGGAGTGGTTATTGTAAAAATAGAACCAGATTTTAAGCTGTGAAATAGTTTGAACAGGAAACGTTCCATGGATCGTGCTGGAACTAAATTTAAAGACTCTCAAGGCGGAAATCAGGACTTTCATGCACTTTTCAATCGTAATTTGACTCTAAAGAGCATAGGGTGAAAAGATTTAGAAGAGATTCTGGTTTTATGTTCGTTCAAGGTTTGTTTCGCTTGAAGTATATGAATCCTGTATTCAAAAAATTATTTGAGCATTATCGAATTTGTGCGTATTTTTTTATATTTACGATATTGTTCTCATACATGTGGAAACAAAATTACAGCATAAACTAAATCACCTTCTTTTCGAAGAATCCTCTAACTAGATCTCCTTCTTTCGCAAACCTTTTGATTTTTTTGTAAAAATAACTCCGAACGACTCAGTATGTAAGGCATTTTCGAATTCAACAGGGCAGGAAGGAGGGACGGAGGGGGGGGGGGGGCACGGAATCACTGTCTTCTCATAATTGTATAGATCCATATTGGTTTAGTAACGCCTATAACCCATTTTCGTGACATGCGTACCTCTGTAGTTGGATTTGATAGGTCAGGATACATAGAATTAATTTCGATGGTCCCGTACCAGTTAGTACCGATTTTCGCTACCGCATGCCAGCAAATTAGGGCTAAAAATAATTATGGAGGGAAGGGATGGGGGAGAAAAGAGTGAAGTTTTTTGCACTTGAACTGTCGCGCACGAGAGGTTTCATTTAAAGGGCTAATCAAGTTGTCGTACATTTGTCTGCTTTGGCAAAAATTTGTGAGGGGAGAGGGGGGGGGGGGGGGGAGGGGGCAACTATGGCATGTGCTGTACAATGCCATAGTTGGCTAAACCTCTCTCACGAAGATATGCATATCGCACCCACACTTGCTAAAATATCGCCAATCCTTTCACTTTATCCGTTGCAATAACGTTCAGCCAGCCCCCCCCCCCCTCCCCCTGCACATTCCTTATGACATTCTCTTAGCAGCCATATCACTCACTGTTAGCAGCTTAGCTGCCACACCCCTCCTCGTTCCCCCCCCCCCCTCCTCCTCTCGTTTCCGGCTCTGAAATAATCTTGTCTCAATCGACATTCGTCATGTATCGACAATCTGGAAATGATCTGGCGCATATAGGGGGGGGGGGGGGGGGGGAGAGTGGGGGCGGAGTAACCCATGCGTGAGCCTATATAATCAGCTGAATCACATTGATTTGGGTGCTGAGGCCATTTTTGTGTGAGAAGGAGGCGGGGGGGGGGGGGGAGATATTCTTCCTTCCTGCTAACTTGAAAGATACGTTCAAGTATCTATCTTTATTCACATTTTCTTGAAGTTATTGTACTATATGAGAGTTAGGTGGGGGGGGGGGCAAAAATTCCATGCCCTGATATCTTCCCTCCTCTCCACCCACATTTCCTTCCTTGCCTATTCTTTATTTTCCCTCTAACTTTAACGTATATGCTCTGAGTACGATAATTTCCACATAGCTCTACATTGGACATGAATTGAAGTGTTATGGATTACTGTAGGTGTTGTTAGATGAATTTTGTAGTGCATATTGTGTAATTGCACACCAAACATCAATTCTATTAGTGCATATGGTCAAAGAGTCACGATGCGCTCAAGTTTGTGCGTGTTCCCGTCTCTGACCAATTTGATCTTTTGGATTCTGTGTATTGTGTGCAAATACGGCGTGTGCACACGACATGGTTTACTTAGGGTTACGTGCGTGTTTTGTAGGCGGGAAAGCGTTTAGATGAAGTGTGCTTGTTCACACTTCCTGGCTGCGTGGGTCCATAGCGCAAAATTCTTGCGTATTACTGCAGACAAGACAAGCAACCAATGTGAATTTCTTGGACAAGCAATATAAACTTGAATTGAAACAGGAAGTTTAGGAATTAATTCAATTTGAAGAATATCTCCTTTATTTCTATTAAAACTCACTTATTGAGTTGAAACATGAAGATTTTGATTGTATTCTAATTTTTTGGAGAATTTGAATCCCTCTTAATCTCAGACAATCAAATGCTCTCAGCCGGCAGCCACAAAGCCACCGCCTAGACCCACCAAAAGCGCGGTGGCCTCATCGCCTCACTGTCGCTTCCCGCTGAGAGCTTTGTCGGAGTTTTGTCGGAGCTTGTCGGAGCGGGCTCAGGGGGCAGCGAGCCCGCTCCGACAAGCTCTCAGCGGGAAGCGACAGTGGCTGCGATAAGGCAACGACGCTTTTGGTGGGGCCCGCTGAGAGCCTGTGATTGTCTGAGATTTTTGTTTGTTCATATTTCCGAGCTGGGTATGGGTCTCGCAACGAAGCTTGCTTTTTATCTTTAAGTCTTGAGAACCCATATGAAAATGTATTGAAACAGGAATTTTTGAGTTGATTTGAATTTTTGAAAAAAAAATTTTTTTTTCATTTCGTCAATTTATAGTCTCCCAGAAAAGCTATGCAATGGTTGGAACGAAGTTTTTGATATTTGGTAGAAAATGCAATTTTCCTTTATTTTTTGATTGTTCACAATTTCTAGCTGGCTGGTTTCTACAACGTAAATTTTGATTGATTTTTTTCGTAATTTATATTATTCAAATGTATTGATTACTTTGATTATATTATAAAAATATTGCCATGACTTGAAAAAATTGAAAAGTCAATTCTTCAAATTAAAGCTATCATTACCACCAAAAACTTTTCTTAGCAGTCCATTATTAAACTTTTAGGAGAAAACTCCATTTTAGGAAAAAAGTTGGAAAAAATAGAATTTTTCTAGAAATCTTAAGCGTACGAAAACTTCCTGCTTCAACACAATTCTATATGATTTGTCTTCTCCAAACGCACTTGATTATTGCTCGCTTCTCGCAAACGATGGCCCTCCCATATGCACTTTTGTGACAACGGCCTAACCTGCTCCCCCCCCCCGGCCTCCCGCCCCGTCATCACCTTTGTTCTTCGTCGTTTTCGCGCATCTTCACCCTTCCCCCCTCCCTTTTCCCCGATGTCGTGGGTACTGTCAGAAAGTATCGGGGGCAACGAACGCAATTATTTCATTTTGCCGAATCGATTCAAATTTGAATCGATGACCTTTATAAAAAGTCGTTTTCAATGGTGTAGATGAGGGATAATTTCCTGTCGTCGCGCGGGGTCGAGCGAGATTTTCCTGTGGTTAGCCGATTGAGTTCCTGGTGAACGGTCGCTTTTTTCCGCTTGGACATTGTGTATGTTTGTCAGAATGATCGTTCCTTGCTGTATTCCGTGAAATTGCGTATCAAAATATTTTGCGATTTTTTGGTTGGTTACTGTAGCTGATGATTCAATTTTTCAGGTGATGAGGCCGCTTGAACGCTTATTCTACACTTATGGAGATTTTCTTGCTAGGCATCCATGGCCTTTCATCGTGAGTTTTGAAAATTTTCAAAATTTTTGAATCAAATAAGAGGAACCAGGGTTTTTATGTATCATTCGTCCGCGCAATTGTTCAACAAACCATTTTTTGCATATTTTTATTGGACCCACTTCGATTTTCTTGATAATCACATAAAAAATGGTAGTTCGCGTAAAAGACAAATAGTGTCGAGATTAGAGAGGAAAGCCTAAAATACATGACCTAAACAATGTCACTATTAGCAATTGCTCAAAAAACTGCATTTGAAACTACCTCTCAGTCAGAGACGCAGCGCTGCAGCTTACTCTGCTTCTCTGCGCTCTCTCCCTGACAACTTTCGGCCCCTTTTTGTGCAGATTGGATGTTTTTTTTATAAAAATTCGAAATCGAAACAATGATAAAAATCATGATTAGATAATATTCATTTATTTTGTGCAATTACAGATCGTCCCTACCCTCCTAACAATCATCTCATCATATGGTATGGTCTTCTTCCATTCGCAAGATGATATCTGGGACATCTACGCCCCATTGGACGGTCTTTCACGAGTAGAAGAAAAAGCTCTGCTGCCATTCGAATACGCCTCAGCCTCTCATCACTATAGGGTAAGCAGAACAAAAGAAACATACAAAACTGGGTTAATCACGTGTTTGAGACGGGCAATTGAGTTTACGGTAGAGACGAAAAAAAGTGCAAGAAACTTCGTTTTTTGCTGTCAGCAAGGTCATTGTACTTTTTTCGCGCAGATAAAGAGCGTTCTTGAGGAAGGAAGTGCAACAAATCTTCTTTAGAAAAAAATTTCGATGAAATATTGCTTCTAAGAAAAGAAAACCGTGACTGCTAAATCAAAAATTAGTTGCTACCAAAAAATAGGAGAATTCGCATTTGAATCTACCGCTCGGTTAGAGACGCAGCGCTAAGTCATACTCTGCTTCTCTGTGCTCTTCTCAAGATCAAGAAAAAAAGTGACAGTAGTTGTTAATTGGAAATTAAGTGAATCGTTGTCAACATAATATAAAGCAAAAATCTGCATTTGAGTTTAACGCTCGGTTAGAGACGCAGAGCTCACACTCTGCTTGTCTGCGCTCTCTCCTCAACATATTACGGCGCGGTTTCTTGTAAAATTACCGCGTTTTTTTCCCATTTGAATGCAAATACGGTTCAATAAGTTTCACCAGACAAACGTCAAGGATTTGCTTCCGACAATTCGATTAGCCTATATATCATTGAGAGCTTTTTATTTGCACAAATACGTGTTCGCGTATGCGCGCGCCGCGTCGCCATTACATCGACGGCATAAAACTCGACAGGTTGCTTCTGCAATCGCCTTAATGATGACTTTCACCCGGGCGCCATAGGGTTTTACATGAAACGGGTTCAATCCCCGTCAGCCTTGAGGTAGACAATGGCGGGGGGGGCGTTGCATGAGAAATAAAGTTTTTCAGCGGTAAAAAGTGCGAAGGGAGTTTACATGGGATCTTTTTTCATGAATGATAAGGAAAAAGCATAGGGAGTGGAATTTTTTCAGAAAATTCAATTTCAAAAATTTTCCAGATGCAAGTCTTAGTTACGAAAAAAGACGGTGGAAATGTATTAACAATGGATGCTTTAGATGAAATGCTCGAAGTACAAAAGGTTTGTTTGATTTTCCCGCCAAATATTTCGACCAAAAAATTCCGGTTTCAGTACGTCACAGAGAATATAACATTCTCCAATGGTCTGAAAAATTTCGAATATTACGATATATGTGGTGTTTACTGTGGTGACAGCAATAGCGGTGTCATCGCTTTTCTACAGGTGAGAAAACGAAATTTAAAAAAAATTCTGAGGACGGGGGGGGGGGGGAGGCAAAAGGAACTCTGTGAGTCCCATTTTTCCATTTTTTGCTAATTTTCTCTATAAAAATTATTTTTGCAGACTGCACTAGCGTCAGAAGGTTTATCATCGATGAAACTCACATTCCCAATTGCTCAAGCTCTTCAGGTGTGTTTCGATCTCAACTATTTTCAGACAGGTCGCTACAGTAATCTTACCGTAATCCTATAAAACAGTGCATGCTGTGTAATGTAAGATATCAAACGGAAAATCCCGTATTTGCACCTTGAACATTACACTTTCCGTCATCACAATATGGCCTTGATTTTGATAGAAATCCGCTTGACTTATCAAACTTCGGGTGTAACTAGCACTTTAAGGGTCGTAAAGTGAGAAAATATTGCGACTGATTTGACAAAAACCGGGACTATAGATTCTTGACGATTTTTTAAATTCACACAGCAACCTTATTTCATTTGGCTTAAATCGTATATTTTGGAGGGTCAGAACTGGGTTAAAACTTTTTTGAGTAGGCTACCTCGATAAAAACCACTCGAGGTAGATTTTGGGAGTCGTTGATTACCTAGAAGTAATGTAGGTAATGTGGGAAACCTGTTGAGAAGAGGTGATGAGGTGTGAATCATTACCATTGTGTACTTAACCATTCCTCTCAAATAGGTACAAGCATTTCTGACGAGAAAGGCATAGAACATTTTTTTTCTGAGAAAAGAATTTTCCATGTCGATCATAAATTGATAGGAACAAGATTGAATTACTAAAATATGAATTAAACCTTCAAAAACTTGAATTGTTACTGCACATGAAAAATATCACAATCCTATTTCTGGAATTTTTTCAGAAACGAATTTTTCTCGGCTATTCACTTGGTAATCTTACATATTCCAAGCAGCGACCGGGTGAAGTGGAAAAGGCCGGATTGTTGATTTTGCATTACATGGTAAGTGTCGGGGACCAGTTCTCGCTTAGAAACTGCTTTGAATTTTTCTATTTACTTAGAAAATGTTTTCTAGGTTGACACATCTTTACCCAATGGAAGAGTCCTAGCTGAAGATTTTGAAACGAAGCTCAACAAGATTTTCGCTTCCTTGACTGCATCTTCGAAGGAACTGAAGTATTCCACTTTGAGCAGAACTAGAGAAATGAAGGAGCAAAGGTAGTCAAGCTTTTGCACCCATTTATTCCTGGAAAATTCTAATTTTTCTTTACAGGGACATCACAATAACCGCATTGCCTTTCCTCTTCGTTACCGTAGGCATTCTCGTTCTTTTCATGCTTGTTACCAATATTGAGTTTCCTCTATATAGAAGTCAATACATGGAGGTAAGAGAAAAATTCAATTATTTTGCTGATCTCGTCTCATTTTCCCAATTCTAGTCGATTGTGGGAGTAATCTCCCCGTCAATGGCTCTTTGGACTAGCGGTGGCTTCCTGTTCTGGATTGGATTCCCATTTTCTAACATTCTCACCGTCGTTCCATTCCTCGTAGTCGTTATTGGAATCGATGACGCTTTCCTTGTTTTGGCTGGTTGGCGACAATCAACGTAAGAAATTTTATGCCAAAAATTTTCTGAGGTGAATTTTTGAATCTCAAAATACCTATTTCCAGGAAAGGAGCACCGCTAGAACAACGAATCGCCGAGTCTGTAGCGATATCTGGCGCTTCCGTTACCGTTACATCTGTCACCGGTAAGGAATTCTCGAAATTTTTAACGTTAATTTGACTCATCGATGAACAATTGGTAGGATGCAAATATGCTTGCGAATCGATGGAAAAATGGCAAATTTTCTGTTCTCATGAGTCCCGACTCATAGGCATTTGCGCCCGTTGCGCGATACGCTCGGCTCGAAAAACTCACTTGAAAAGCTGTTATCGAAACAGTAATTGACAAATTTCGAGAAAAAATAGATTTTTGAGATAAAAATGTCATTATCCATTGGAAATCTGATGACGCGTATTGTATGTTTTTTGCACTATGACTCATAGGCATTAGTGGCGACGCGCCTGTTTAATCCTACCAAAAAATCAATATCGGCTTCTTTATGGATCCAAATAGGGATTTTCGATGTTTCTGGCTAGGCAGTTGCGTCGTCGGTGCGGATTTAGCGCGGATTCCGCATTTTCGGCAGATTAGAAGAGCTTAAACCAGAACTCAGTACCTGAATCCACGCAAAATTTTATCCTTGGGGAAGTGAAGGAGACGGGGGGGGGGGGGGAGAGAGAGAGAAGGGGATGAAGGCTTATAGTTTCAGCTGATTAGCATACATTAAGTCATTAGAAGAAATTTCTCGACAACTATCACATTTTTAAGTTCGTTTCAGATGTCCTATGCTTTGCCATTGGTCTCTTCTCCAATATGCCTGTTATTCGACTCTTCTGCTTGTTCACTTCTCTAGCTCTATTCGTCGATTACGTGTACCAGGTAGGTTACAAGAAGGACTTGGGTAACTGAACACTTAATGAAGTTCAAAATTCTTTCCAGATGACTTTCTTCACAGCTGTGATGAGCTTTATCGTACGAAGACAGATTAAACTCGATAGAAAAGCGATAGAGAGCAAAGTTGCACCGGTATGCCCTGGAAAAATCAATAATTGAGATCAATAAGATCAATGATTTATCTTAGGAAATCAAAGTCCTACCGATGGACAAGACAAAGGATAAACTTGGCGAAACGGCTATTTTCACTGTGATGATGCCCGCGTTTACACCACCACCAGTAAGAAAACCCACAAAGGGCAAATTGGAGATTTTTGTCGAAATTCTGCACACAAAGACTGCCAAAATTTTGGTGATGGCGACATTCTTCGCACACATTGGGGTAAGTCCGTAATTGCACAAATTCGGATTTTCTGATTATGGATCATTCACTGCTAATTTTTAGATTAGCGCATATCTAGCTAGTAGTGTAAGCACGGACTTTGACATGGAAAACCTTTACCTGGAAGGATCACCGCTGACCGAAGTTTCCCGAAAAATGCAGGTAAATTGAGGTCTTCACTAGAACAATATTCAGTAGTTACTTAGGTAAATAGTATTGCGGATTTTGTGTTGGATTTAAATTTGTACTTCTTTCCAAAATGCGAGAACTGGTCTTCTGATTACTTACTGCTACAATTTTTTATTCTACAAGAAAGAGTCAATTATATATATCCATATGCTTGTTCTAATAGAATAAAAATGTGCGCCTCCATAATTTATAGTTGAAATGACAACATTTTATATTGGGGACCAGTTTTCGCCTTGCTTTTTTGCCGCGATTAACAGTATTTTTTTCCAGGATTTCGTTCTTCGCGAAGCGTTTGTCGTCAATTTCGCTGTGCAACCCATGCCTGATATACAAAACGCTACCATTCGTGAAAAGTTCGAGGAAATGGTTGATCGATTAGAGCACATTCCAAAGTACGGAGGCGGACCAGATAATACGATCCTTTGGATTAGAGACTACAGCAGCGTGAGTTGTTGTTCTATTAAAACGATTCTGAGAGGTCGTAACTGCGTACTTAGCAATACCATTCTAGGCTGTTGCTTTTTGGGGTGAAGAAGAGGATTTCTGGGATCCTAAGACTTTGCTGAAAAATTATCGTGATTATGGAATGGAGGATAGATTTGTCATCAGCAAGTAAGCAGTCAAATTTCACCAAGTATGAATTTAATGGGTTAAAATTCCATTTTATAGACGTCTCAAGGATGGCTCTGAAGTAATAGATGGATTTTATTTCATAATTGCTTACAAAAATATGAGCACATTCACGGATGTTAAGAAAATGATGGATCAAAGGTAAGGGAGGAGCCACATGCCTTCGCAGCTGCGTCGCATCGGCGCTGAGTGTCATGGAAAGAATCAAAAATAAAATGAATTTCTGTCCAGACGAGCTATAATCGATTCCTATCCATTCCACGTGCTATCTCATCATCCCTTCGAGAAAGTCCCAACAGAAAGTGCTGCTAGTGTTCCCAAGAACTTCCTTCAAACAGCTTGTGAGTTTTTAGCATCTATCTATCATTCACGGTTGCGTACGCGTTGCATATGCGCCGCAAACGCGCCGCAAACGCAGCGTGCACACGCCTATGACATTACGCTATTGATATTTTCTTTTTAGTGTCCGCCGTAATTCTGATGTCCATCCTCGTTTTGCTTTTCGTTATGAACTGGGAAGCGATCATCTCCGTTATCATATCCATCCTATCCATATGCTTGGGTAAGTCAACCTTTTGATGAATTAACCTTTTGCCTCTACACCCAGAATCGTTAAAGTTAACTTCTATAGGTATCGTTGCCTACCTCAATCTATGGCATGTCAACCTCGACGCAGTTTCCCTGATCAGTATCCTGATGAGTGTAGGATTCTCCGTAGACTATTCAGCCCATGTTTGCTACCACTACTTTGCACATGCCCAAGAAGAGAGCAAAGACAATAAGGTAAGTTCTAAGTTTTGTACAACTTCAACACTCTTACCATATATCTACCGTATCCCTACAGTATCCAGTGGCTATAAAATCTGTGTTTTAGTCCGAATTGGGATCTGTCGAGTCTGGTAGTAGCAGCACAAGTAGCGAATCTATCAGCAGTTCACTTAGCAAATCGATACGAGAACATTCGGTGAAGCGATTGGTCGCAACTTTGAATGGCGTTGGTTGGCCAGTGGTCCAGAGTGGATTGAGTACCGTAATAGGTATGCTTAAATGTGTCACTCTTATTTCTATATTTATAATGTCAAAAAACAAGACCATATACTTTTTGAATATTTTCGAAATGAACCCATATTGATCCGGGAGGAGTAAAATACATGGGTTAGCTCCGCCCCTGCCACGCCCCTTTTTTCAAAATATAATAATACTTGCTTTCAATTTCAGGTCTGTTTCTTGTGTTCGGCTTTGCTCATGGTCTTTTTATAATTAGCTTACAGCCTTTAAGTAAGAATCTTGCAAATTTTGAAAACCAGATAAAGAGCGCGGAAAAGAAAAAGGTTTAGTTTGCATTTTAAAAAGGGCGTGGCAGGGGCGGAGCTAGCCACAAAATTCCCGACAACTTGCGCGTGAAATTCACTGCAGTGCTTCGCATTCCGGTGCAAACCGAAAAATAACCAAAATTCTCATGATGATATGGAATTTTTCAAGATTTTTTTACAAATGCAAGTATTATTCCTGCTTTTTTAGGCATGTTCCCACTGATGTTCGTTCGAGCATATGTGGTTGCTGTATTTTGGAAAACGGTGCTACTTGTCGGATTCCTCGGCATGTTCCATGCTTTACTTCTCTTACCCGTCATATTCATCTTAACCGAGGATCTCAAACGTTTCTTCAGATTTCGGTAGTAATTTTACCCACCTATAACCATTTTCTTCGTAGTATGCTCATTTCTTATCACCTTATCAACAAATATGGGTATTGACACTGCTTTTCATTGTCGTGTGTGTTTGTTAATTTTTGCTTGCGCAAAGCTTGATTTGCTCGCAAATATCTTGTTGTTTGTTCATATAGGAACTTAAACATATTATTTTCAAATCATCGATTCATTTGCCTTAATTTCCGCTATATTGATTGATCTTGTCACATACTGATCACGCACTTTGCATTCTCTAATTTTCATTCTGTATAGCCACGAATGACTAACGCTCCACGCATCCTGTAAGAGATTGCTTATCACTTGTGTCTAGTCTTTTTCTCCATTTTTTTCTCTCTTTCCCTCTTTTGCCTTTACTGTACAGTAGATCGATCGAATCTAGCAAATGTCTTTCTATCGGTGTGTAAAGTCTTAAAATTACATTTGTTGTAAACAGAAGTACAAGCAAACAACCCTTGGAAGGTTATCGCGGAAAATCTGCTATAATCAGGCCAGGATTTGAGTAAAAATCCAGGTTTCCAGATTCTTTCTGTTGTATAAAACACAGCTCATAAAGACTAGAAGTTCTCTTGAAGAAATAAAAAAAACAAAAATTCCTATCTGTGCGATTTTCTGTTACCACATCAAAACTTTATTTTTTATTACTTCCACGAACGCAATAATTTAGGAATTTCTACGTCAACTTATTCTTTTTTTTTCAGGAAAATGTCTCCAAACTTTGAGTAAAATGTTACAGAAAAGTCTCAATTGTACTTTATAAAGTGATAAGAATCTTTAGAAATCAAAAATTAGAGGGAAAGTGGGATGAATACTGGGTTTGTTTATAACGGCAGTATTCCCTAACCGTCAAGTTCAGATCTCCGAGTCCGTCTTGCTCTTCCTTACAAAAACTGCAAAATTTTTTAACTTCAAATTCAAAATCGATATTTTGCTGCATGTGCGCAGTAAATTTTCTCTCCTTTTGAGGTTTTTGAAAATACTTGAATTTTTTAAGAAGTAAACTTTTTCTTAGTACATAATTTTGGGCAACTAAAGCCAGTAAACCAGTTCCACTTCCTTGACTACCACCCTATAATTGCACCTTACCGTTAGAGAGGTGTGAGGTCAATTATAGAAGTCAATATTTAGAGATATTTAGAGTCAATCAATGACTCTAAAATTTTCGGTACATTGAATAAAAGTGTTTTTGTTTGTTGTCATTTAATTGTTGGCTTAAATGTGCCCAACACTTTAAAAATACTATCAATAATTACACTTGGGCTGCTTACAAGGAAATGGTCAGAAGTCGAAGTGGCCAATCCAAACAAACTGCATACCAATCGATGCAGCATAGAGTGCTGATTTCAAATGTGTCTCCCGTATCTGCAGAGCGCCTTTGTGGGCGAAGTTATGAGCAGCTTTATTGCGGAAAAATCGTCCACAAAAACTGCGAAATTAGGCAGATCACTGCTCTTTTAGCTCACCTTTAGGTACGAGCAGTATGAACTGACCTAGTTACACGTTTTGGTCCAACAGCGAGCCGAGAATGGCTTTGTACGGCCAAGTTTGACATTCACACGCACAATTTCTTAGCAAAATGATGACATTTGACGGCTTATAACTTCGCCTACAAAAACGCTCTGCAGATAAGAAAGACAGGTCTGAAATCAGCATTCTATGCTGCATCGAATGGTATGCAGCCTGCTTGAATTGGCCACTTCGATTTCTGACCATTCCCTTGTTAGCACTAGAAATTGCATTACTGCATTGAAACAAGTACATTATTACCCAAACCATCTATTTATGACTGAAGTGCAAATTCTTCCGAAGACCGTTAAGTGCTAATAAGTGCAATATTTCGCCTATCTTGTAGAAATTCAATTCCCGTTGTTATGACTTTTCATTTGCTTCATGTTGTTCCTAGAGTGCAACTCATTATATGTCATGGGGTCACAGGGGTGCGAAAACGAATGGAATTGCATTTGAGTTACTTAAATCAACTTTCAGTTATCGAGTTTTATCAGGGGAAATATCGAAATGTTTTATGGAGCAAAAAAACTTTTTTTTATTCCAGAAAAGCTAGAAACAAGGTCGTCATTATCGTAGAATATTGGTTGTGTCTTATATTGCATGGCTGCGTCGTAGGTTGACTTTTCGTCATCGACCGATATCGATTTTATCGATTTGCAAAGTTTCACCTACGAAGCTGAGAGTTGGCTCAGGGGATAGGGGTAAGTCAGACCTGCTAATTACGAATACAATTTTTTTGTCAAAAATTATCAATTACTCTTATCGACTTTATCGATTTTTGGGAACTTTTCACCTACGGGGCTGGGAGTTGGTACAAGAGAGTAAGTGTGCATGCCGTTCCAGAATTATCAGTCTACATATAGGCATAAATCTTATATATAAAGCTGAATGTCTGTTTGTCTGTATGTCTGTATGTATGTATGTATGTACGTATGTTCCGAATAGAAAATTCCATTTCTGAACCGATCCGGACCAAACTTGGCACACATACACTACGGGCCCCGGCGGGTGTCATAGGCTACTTTTCGTCATCGATCGATATCGATTTTATCGATTTTTATCGATTTTTTTGCTGAGTTCACCTACGGGGCTGGGAGTTGGCACAGGGGGGTAATCGAGCATGGGGATTCCGAATACAATATTGGTTTTCAGGATTATCGATTACTTTTATCGATTTTATCGATTTTTTTGCAAAGTTTGAGCTACGGGGCTGGGAGTTGGCACAGGGGGGTAATCGAGCATGGGGATTCCGAATACAATATTGATTTTCAGGATTATCGATTACTTTTATCGATTTTATCGATTTTTTGCAAAGTTTGAGCTACGGGGCTGGGAGTTCGCACAGGGGGGTAATCGAGCATGGGGATTCCGAATACAATATTGGTTTTCGGGATTATCGATTACTTTTATCGATTTTATCGATTTTTTTGCAAAGTTTGAGCTAGGGGGCTGGGAGTTGGCACAGGGGGGTAATCGAGCATGCTGATCATCCCCAAGGGGGTGATCAGCATGCTCGATTACACCCCTGTGCCAAATTCCAGCCCCCTAGCTCAAATTTTCAAAAAATCGATAAAATCGATAAAAGTAACGGACGATCTCGAAAACTAATATTGTATTCGTAATCTGCATGCTCGATTACCCCCTGTGCAAACTCCCAGCCCCGCAGGTCAAACTTTACAAAAAAATCGATAAATTGGGTAAAAGTAATGGACGATCCTGAAAACTAATATTGTGTTCGTAATCGCATGCTCGATTACCCCCCTGTGCAAAATCCCAGCCTCGCATGTCAAAATTTACAAAAAATCGATAAAATCAACAAAAGTAATCGATAATTCTGAAAACTAATATTGTATTCGGAATCCCCATGCTCACTTCCCCCCCCCCCCCCCCCTGTGCCAACTCCTAGCCCTGTAGGTGAACTCTGGAAAGAAAACGATAAAAATCGGTAAAATCGACATCGATCGATAACGAAAAGTGGACTGTGACACCCGCCGGGGCCCGAAGTGTATGTGTGCCAAGTTTGGTCCGGATACGGCGGAGCCGGGTAAGCCAGCTAGTATAAACATAATATTTGCAATCAGAGTGTTTCGTAACCATTCAGGGCAATTTTAGCCAAAGTATGGATCTTTCAAATTTGGACTATATCTATGAGGACGGAGTGCGTAAGCCCATAATTCGACGAACAACACGAATAAGGACCTAGCTTGAACATAAAGCAAATTTCCAATGGAAATGTCTCTGATGGTTTGAAATTTCAGAAAAGAGCAGGTAAGCAGTTCAACAGATGCGCAAAAAGTGCAGGCAAATTCGGGAACTTTTGGTATCTCAGCATTTCTCTCAGCACAACCCTGCTGAGAGTATTACAGTTCACAAAGAGCACTATTCGTAACTGGCGAGTTCGAGAACCTCTAAAGCGAAGTTCTGGTCAATATAAGATCATCAACATTTTAGCCAAAACCCGTCAGTGAGCCTCAGAGCCTGCTACTAGAAAAAAGTCAAAGGTCCCAATTTCTTACAAAACTTGCGCATAACGGTTATCTAGCCCGCTGGCTACGAAAAACACCCCTACTCGCAAATTAGCGTCTCACTGCATGGCTGCGGTAGGTAAAAGTTGGGAGACATGAATGTTTCCAAATTTTACCGCCTATCTTTCTCTCCGGAAGAGGTCTCTGCTTAGTCGTTAGCGCTTGATATTCCACAAGGACAAATCTACCGAATCCTGCTTACTAGAGTCTTTCACGTGTATTTTGCTCTGCGTAGCACCACTCGACCCCCCCCCCCTCCCCCCTCCCCCTCACAAAAAAATCGAACGGACTGGAAACGGAATCGCAAGACAGCGTAGTACATTAGAAGATTTGCCTTGAGGAGCTGAGCATTACGCTTTTTTCAGATTCGGTGAAGAAAAACGAAAAAAACTAGGATTATCTGTTTTTAATTCTTCTGTCAAATAGTTAGTATGGGTACTGTATACCTACTATGTCAGTGTATGTAATAGACATAGATGAGGCAGGGTGCTGGCATATATATTAGGTCGTTTCATAAGTTCGTCGACTTTTTATTTTTGTCGCCGTTTTTCGTTGAAGCGGTTGGCTTACGGCAAAGTACCTATACCATTGAAAAGAGAAAATCTTGCTCTACAAGAACTGTTGTTCGTTTTTGGAGCAAACTTGAATCCCCTTCTTCTACGACTTATAAAAGCAAAATTTTTTGAGAGGCAAAAATTGGCGATTTCGGCAACTGCAGTTTCCGCATTTGGTCCGTATTCCTCAAGATGTTTCTGTCATAGGTAGGCGGGATGGATAGTAGTAAGCAAGACTGAAACACTAACAAATTTGCAGCACGCCAATATGCATAGAACCGTTTGAACAAGGTCCCAATGGTTGTTGTCTTTGACTGCTGCCGCTTGAGTTTGGCGCGTTGTTCAGCGACACAATGTGTCGGTCCTCCCATCGGAACTGGAGGAATAAATGCGTTCTTCTAAGTGGTGTAGATGTATGAGTACAAGCTCTGGCCAACATTTTACGCTTTCTCAAAAAAAATTTTGACGTGGGAACTTCTTCAAATTGTGCCAAACAAATGTATTTACCATGTGTGTAGATGTTTTGCACATATCTGCGAACTGTGCAAAACATCTACACACATGGTAAACGTGCGCTTAATCTTTCTTTATAGCGTCTCTTTGGATATGGAGACTACTTTTGTATGCACCGTAGTACCACAAACAATTGTTTCTCATCACTCATAACAACTTCAGACGAAAAATTCCCACTTGTGGCTCCGTATACGGATCGAAAGTTGCAGGTGCCGAAGTCGCCAATTTTTGCCTCTCAAAAAATTTTGCAAAAGAAGGGGATTCAAGTTTGCTTCAAAAACGAACAACGGCTCTTGTAGAGTAAGATTTTCTCTTTTCAATGGTATAGGTATTCTGTCGTAAACCAACCGCTTCATCGAAAAACGGCGACAAAAATAAAAAGTCGACGAACTTATGAAACGACCTGATAGTTGAGAGGGACACGGAAATGTTGTACGGAAATAGGGCATTGTGGATTCATCATAATGTATTGATAACGGTCGGAGCCTAATTTGTCAGCTAGTTATATGTAAGGTTGTTCCCTACAAAACACCAACATTTCTCAAATTCCATGACCTACAAAAACCCACGAAACTTGATGTACAGGTGAATCATACAGTCTAGAGCACGCGCTCCAGAGTTCAAATTGTGGGAAGTAGCGCAAACTTTGCTTTCTGAAGCTGATCAGAAGACATTTATGGGATGTCTCCAACAATTAAAATGCATTACTGACAATTATGTTTCTAAGCTTCTGCACTATTGTCAAAATGTTGCAATCAAGTTCTTGAAGGCATCAAGAAAACAGCCATTGTGGCGCATGCGGCGGATTGAAGAATGTTTATTTGAAAATGCATTTTTAGCTAGAAGCGTCTCAGTCTAATCTGATAACAAAGCTTTTAGACTGAACTTTTTTCCCCTAAAACTTTTTCTTCTTACAAAAAGGTCCGTTTGGTCGAGGTGGCCTTTCACATGATATTGACACGGCTAATAAAGAGCATCAAATGCCGATTTTAAATCGGTCTTCCTTATTTGTCGAGTACCCTCTGAACATCGAGTTATGAGCGGTTTTTGATTTGAAAATTGAATGCATAATTAGCACTTAAACTCGTCAGAATTGCTCAAATAATCCAATTTTGATTATTGCAGCACTTCATCTGAACAGTACCTTCTGCTTGAAAGCTCATACTCAACACTGCTCTATTTAAGGATGAAAAGACCGTAAAATTTGATACCTAGATTATGCGTTTATTTTTTCACCAAGAAAGTATTCATAACTCGCATGCAGGGGCGTTCAGCAGATAATGAAATCACTTTGGGATCACCCTTTGATGCTTTGCAAAGTGGAATAAGACTCATTTGGAAAGTTCACTTTAATCGGACCTCCCTTGTTATGGCAGACACTGCTCTGAGATTTCGCACATCAACCTTTGACACATTGACGATCGCTTGACACACATGGTGTGTCAAGGCTTGACACACCGTGACTCCCATCGTAATGGCTACTAATTTGTTGCAAATCAACTCTGGGAGATTTCTTTTATGTTTAACCTAGATACAACCTCTACTGTTTTTGCCAGCATTCTAACGCTACTGTAGGTGCGCTGTAGATGGAATTGTAAGTGATTTTATCTGAAAAATGCTGGCTGGTCCGAGAAAGGCTTTGGTCGTCAGTGTGTTAAACTAGGCCTGTGTTCTATTTTGCACCTGAATATAGAAACTAGCTGTACAGTACGAAATTCGAAGACACGTCAAATCTATCAAGACAAGATTTTATAGGTTTGGAAGCTGGTAATTTCGATACTATACAGAATGATAATCTAGTAAGTAAATGACAACTTTCCATCGGACTCAAATGCAAACGTAACTAGACTTAAAAGCTTTGACAAACCTACTACGTTGCAAAACTAGACTTAAAAACTTTTAGGACACCCGTACTTACGTACCAATCTTTATTAGCTGATAAGATAATGCCATAGAACATGGCGGTCGAATCATGCGTGAAGGCGATCCATTGCGGCTAGAAATGTTTGGCATTCGTGGTTGAACATTGTACCCAATATATTCCAAGCGAATTTCTCCTCTGCACTCAAAGTAGGACCTTTGCTCTCCAGAAATCCTATCCAATATTCCCAGAAATGCTGAATAATAGGTTAGAAACTGTTGAAGAGTTTTGCAATGAATTACCTTCCAAAGTGCGGGACTGATTGTTTCTTCAATATGCTTAAACGTCACTTTGCGCACGTAAGCTCGAAACACCGATTCCTGAGAGTACGACTTTGAGTGTACTGAGAGTGGGAATGAAATTGACACTACATTGTCGAATGTATTTGCCAAGACGTGAACAAACAAGAGTATTGTGTCTCCTAGTTTATCGAATCTGCAAAAATATTTTCTCTTAGAGTGCTGTGCTGCTAACACAAACCTCTCGCTTTCTAAGTTATCTTCACTAGTGTGACTTTTAGCGCCTTTGTAGAATCTACGGTGCTCAGGGTGAGTTGCCAGAAAGCTGAATGTACAATTTTGACTTTTGCAAAGATTGATCTTGACCGACTATCTGTAAAAGTCTCCGCCACTGCCGATAGGAGCAACCTTAAGCGATTCGACAGTGTGCTTCCTGACATCAGTCGGCTCCCTAAATGGACAGCATCTTTTGGAGCGAAAATATCCCGTCTTGAAACAACTATGCGACTGAATCTAGCTCTCAAGAGCAAACTTGAAACTTTGCCATTTATTGCCAGCTTTGCCACATAAGTTTTGCAACTTACTTCTAGTTTTTTTTCTTTTTGGCAATAACGCATTCATTTCTGAAAATTGTAGCTTAGGTAGTAGACTACAAATGACGCAAATAATTTGATTTCTGGTAGCGAAGTGGAGAAAATTTACTCATTTTTCAAAAGCTGGTCAAATTCGAAATTTTGAGCGTCTGAAAAGTAAAAATAAAACTGTTCTCAGTTTGAATGGAACACATCAAGCCAAAACTGTACCCGTGTTGTTGATAGAGGAATCTCTAATGATATATGTAGTTTCGTTTGATGTGTTCGATTCAGACTGAGAACGGCCTTATTTTTGTTCTTCTGACACTTGAAATTTCAAATTTGACAAGCTTTCGAAAAAAGAGTAAATTTTCTCCACTTCGCTATCACAAATCAAATTATTTGCGCACATTGTAGTCTACTATCTAATCTAGTTATGGCCAAAAACGAATGCGTAATAGTCAAAAAGAAAAAAGTTATGAAATATTAGGTTGTGTAAATAGTTCTGTCCCACTTTTTCTTTCGATTTTTTTCTCAAAACTTTGCGCGATGTTCTGCAAATTATTTATATGCAGTTGAAAGCTCTAAGCCTTCTCTATCAAAACTTTCATCTCGGTTTTCTACATCAGATGACTTGAAAAAGTTTAGCGTCAAATTTGGAAAATCAAAAGGGGAAAAGTTCATTTTCGACAACTAGGTTACGTCGCCCCCCTAATTAGTCAGAATGTCTAGGAATAAGCTCGAAGAATTTGCTGAAGCGCAATAGAAGTAAAGAATCCTCTTGCTTCTATTGCGCTTCAGAAGTGCTGAAAACTTTAGAAAAGTCTTATTTCTAACGCCTTTTCAACGTTGGTGTTGGGCATCATCTAAAGGTATCCTGAGGGAAGACGCTAGGCGGATCATCCGGATGAGATAGAAGGGATGGTTTGTGGCTTCAAAATTATCGAATTCGTAGGTTAAATACTAATTCGAATTTTGGGAGCCGCACAGCTTGGTACGCGAGACGGCGAACATATCCGTGACAAAGTGTTTCCTTGCCGACTTTCAAAGAAATGTCATTAAATAGCCGGTGGAAAGATGGGAACATACGCAAACAGTGACAGAATAAGTGTAGAAGTCTAATAGGTTGTTTTGGTTGTTGTCAAGAAGATGTCGAAAATTGATTTTTCGGCTCCTTTGGATTTTTTGTTTAAAAGATAAAAATCTTTTTCAATTTCATCCTATGTTGGGGAGCGATGCATATGAGCCCGCAGGGCAGACTTAGAGCTTCAAAAAGCATATACACTTTATCTCAAATGAGTCAATGTTGCCAAGAAAAAGCTAAAACAAAAAATGGGACAGAACTTATTACACGACTAATAATTTGCAAGATTATGTGCCAACCTAATAATATTCTTGTACACATGCAAACATGCATGACATACTTCAAGACATTTGCCTTGGAACGAGGATCTCAAAACTGTGTTCGTTGTTTGCGGGACGATTTTTTGAAAAACCGTATCGCCTCGCAACATCAGTGTTTGCACGGTAGTATGAGTAATGTCGATAGGTGGTAAAGGTGTCGAAGGTTTAGCGGTTGGGCGGGGTTAATACTGATTCGTAAGTTCCGAAACAGTTCCAGCACCGAGCTTGAATTGTGCGCTGTGCTGGAAGTGTTTCGAAACGTACGGTCCAGTATGAACTCAGCCTTAGCGTTGCCGATTATTGCGGAACGGGTGCCGGTTCCTATCCCTGTTGGTGCAAATATTCTGCGTTCGGTTTCACAAATCTATTTCTTCTCAGAAAAACGTTTCGCAGACAACAACAATTCCAAGATTAACGTTTCAAGGCGAGCATTCTGATAATAACAATTTTCAAAAGGCTACAGTCAATAGCTCCTTTCTTGTTGGTTTTAAAAGCGTAAGCAACAAAAATACAAGAAGTTTTGGGCAAGCAGGAACATTTCGTAGCAAACTTTAAGCGCAAGACGGTTAACACGGAAAGCCTCAGAAAGGGGAGCCGAAAGCTTACATTGAGCAGATGTGGCTGGTGAATCTGAAAAGGGAAAAATAGAGCTGCTAAGCAAACGACCGGGAATGATTAGTGTGTCATATAAGGTTCGATGTGAAACAATTCGTGTAGAGATCTATAAGAACAGGATTGCAACCGAGATCACCGTGTCCATTCCACATAAGATGTTCAAAAACTAGTCTCGAAACGCTGGTCTCAAATCTATGTTCGCTATCTGCAAAGAGTTTTTTTTTCTGGAAGAACAACTTCTGACAAAATTGTAGTAGTATTATCATAATTGACCCAAGTCATGCTGCCGCGTTCTGGATTTCATATCCTCAACCCATCTCAAGGTTTCTACTAACCTTTACTATAAACATTTTGAACAGGAGCGAGAAGTTGTGCAAGCCGCATTTTCGAGTTTTTTGTATTATACCCTGATAATCCCGGCGGCCGACTGCCTTTTCTTCAAAGTCGTTTTCCTTTTTTCATAGTGAATGAGAACGCCTCAATCTATCGATTACATATTTCTGATGAGAACAGATGAATTATCGAAGAATTAAAATTCGATGAGCCCCAAGTCAACTTGTGGTTCACTGAAAATTTTTTACTGCGATACGTCGTTGGTTTTGTCGGAAACATGCTTAGCGTTGGGTTGGATAATCGGTACAACTCTAAGATTTTTTGATCAGCTTTGAGTAAGGAAAAACGACTTCGAAGAAAAGAGCCAGCCGCCGCGGATCATCAAGGGATCACAGAAAAAATTGGAACATGCGGCTTGTACAACGTTTTCTCTTGACCTCTTCCACTATGTTTATAGTAAAAGAAGTAAAAACACTTGCTTGAGAGGAGATAAGTATAAATTCCACGGCTCGAGCGCTTCAGAATGTGATGCATGCCGGCCTAGCTTGCTTTATGCCCTGGAGCAACATCAGTGACTAAACACGCTGTTCAAATAAATGTATGAAACTAACAAACGAACAAAGCAAGAAGTCTCGGAATACCCTTTCCGAATCCACGCAACATCGCAACTTCGTCATGTGAGAGCGATCATAACTTTTTTCAGGAGATCGCTTTGCAAATAGCGAACATTTATTGAAAACAACTTTCTAAAACAAGAGTTCACTTGCATCTCGTGTGAAAAGATTGCGATAACAAATGCGTTAACTTTTCTTATGAGAGCAAAGCCCAATTAGAGCACGGTCTAAGGTGTTGCAACTATGAAAACTAGAAGTGAAAGACGCAAGGAAATTTTCCGTTAGGTTTCACGGCAAGTTTGAAGTTTTTATTGGAGGCAGAGACATCTCTGCCACCACATCGATCGTTTCGGTGTTCTGGTTATTAGCAACACTTTTGACAATAATCTGAAAATTGAGCATTAGAAACAACTTTGGTATAAAAGTTGATTTTTGAAAGTATTGAGACATGATGCTGAATTAATGAGCCTTGTCAAATAAAAGCTGTTGAGTCCAGTGCTAAAATCGCGATTCACCGTCGTGTCTTGCTGAAAGCACAGCCGCACTGGATTTTGGTGTATTTGCTGTAAATCGCGCTGACTGGCCATCTTATATATAAAGCTGAATGTCTGTTTGTCTGTCTGTATGTCTGTCTGTATGTCTGTATGTCTGTATGTCTGTACGTATGTTCCGAATAGAAAATTTTATTTCTGAACCGATCCGGACCAAACTTGGCACACATACGCTACGGGCCCCGGCGGGTGTCATAGGCTACTTTTCGTCATCGATCGATATCGATTTTATCGATTTTTACCGATTTTTTTGCTGAGTTCACCTACGGGGCTGAGAGTTGGCACAGGGGGGTAATCGAGCATGGGGATTCCGAATACAATATTGGTTTTCAGGATTATCGATTACTTTTATCGATTTTACCGATTTTTTTGCTGAGTTCACCTACGGGGCTGAGAGTTGGCACAGGGGGGTAATCGAGCATGGGGATTCCGAATACAATATTGGTTTTCAGGATTATCGATTACTTTTATCGATTTTATCGATTTTTTTGCAAAGTTTGAGCTACGGGGCTGGAAGTTGGCACAGGGGGGTAATCGAGCATGGGGATTCCGAATACAATATTGGTTTTCAGGATTATCGATTACTTTTATCGATTTTATCGATTTTTTGCAAAGTTTGAGCTACGGGGCTGGAAGTTGGCACAGGGGGGTAATCGAGCATGGGGATTCCGAATACAATATTGGTTTTTGGGATTATCGATTACTTTTATCAATTTCATCGATTTTTTTGCAAATTTTGAGCTACGGGGCTGGAAGTTGGCACAGGGGGGTAATCGAGCATGGGGATTCCGAATACAATATTGGTTTTCGGGATTATCGATTACTTTTATCAATTTCATCGATTTTTTTGCAAAGTTTGAGCTAGGGGGCTGGAAGTTGGCACAGGGGGATGATCAGCATGCTCGATCACCCCCCTGTGCCAACTCCCAGCCCCCTAGCTCAAACTTTGCAAAAAAATCGATGAAATCGATAAAAGTAAGGGACGATCTTGAAAACTAATATTGTATTCGTAATCTGCATGCTCGATTACCCCCCCCCCGTGCAAACTCCCAGCCCCGCAGGTCAAACTTTACAAAAAAATCGATAAAATCGATAAAAGTAATGGACGATCCTGAAAACTAATATTGTGTTCGTAATCAGCATGCTCGATTACCCCCCTGTGCAAAATCCCGACCTCGCATGTCAAAAGTTACAAAAAATCGATAAAATTAGTAAAAGTAATCGATAATTCTGAAAACTAATATTGTATTCGGATTCCCCATGCTCACTTCCCCCCCCCCCCTGTGCCAACTCCTAGCCCTGTAGATGAACTCTGCAAAAAAATCGATAAAAATCGGTAAAATCGACATCGATCGATAACGAAAAGTGGACTGTGACACCCGCCGGGGCCCGAAGTGTATGTGTGCCAAGTTTGGTCCGGATACGGCGGAGCCGGGTAAGCCAGCTAGTCTCCTATATTGTAAAACAGTTTTGCAAGTTTTCTATTTCGCGAGCATCACGTAAGCAAGAGACCATTGTTGACCGGCTACTCAAGATGAATCTCAAAGAACGTGTGACAACAATGATCTTTGGAGACATATACATCAAAAATTTGTAGCAGAAGAATTATGGGTTTATATGAAAATAGACCACAGGAAGAACACATTTATCATTCAAATTATATCCTTTTGTCTTGCGCTCAGCTAAATCAAGCTGATAAAAAGCTGCAAACTGTCGAGATTCCGTAATATGCTTTTTGGACTACGGCTGCCATGAATTTCAAATCTTTTCAAAGTAAAACGGCGGATGCTTGTATATGGTGGTTTATCAAAAGAAGAAACTGCGAATTGTTCCTATATCACGGCACGTCTTCAGTAAAAACATTTACTATTGTTATACTGCGCGAGTTAGTATTGACCAATGCCTCTTATACGTATCAACTTGATCCTAAATTCTCATCAGACACGATCGGTTATTCTGAACTTACTCGTTCCAGACAGATAGCACTTTACAGTGAAGAAGTAGCAAATTGTCGTTTTGGACATTTCTTCTATATTATATACTAGATGGCTTACCCGGCTCCGCCCGGTTCTGTCATTATTTTATTCGTAATCAGCATGCTCGATTACCCCTCCCCCCTGTACCAACTCCCAGCCCCGTAGCTCAAATTTTGCAAAAAATCGATAAAATCGATATCGATCGATGACGAAGAGTAGCCTATGACACCCGCCGGGGCCCGAAGTATGTGTGCCAAGTTTGGTTCGGATCGGTTCAGAAATGGAATTTTCTATTTGGAACATACGTACACGCAAACATACATACATACAGACAGACAGACAGACAAACAGACATTCAGCTTTATATATAAGATTAATATTAGCAACGAGGAGAAAAATTGCTTGTGTCTCTTTTGAATATACAGGCCCTTTTCCTGTACAATATGAGTTTACATTTCGTCATTTATAATAAAGCATGTCTCGCAAATGTCACTAAGTTACTGAGAACTCACCTACCTTCCTTACTTTGTTTAATAATGCACTCAAAAGTCACCTGTTGTAGCTTGTTAAAAAAGGCGTCTACGTTGAAAAGCTGATTCAAACAAAAAATTTTGACGATGAACCAAAGTCAAAGAATCTTGTGCCTTCTACATCCATTCGAAAAATCTCCATATGACGCTATGAATGAAAAAGGTCATATCTCAAAATTTAATGCGAAATGCAACTTTGCCGATAATGAAAGTTTTAAGGCAGTGTCCAAGCAAAAATTCGACTTGAAGATTTTCTGCTTACCCGGGCCTATTTGCCATGCGAATCAGAAAATCTTGAGGGCGCGAGAACGGCGAAAATGTATTTTAAAGCAGGAGCGAAATTAGCAGGCGGGCAATTCCGCTAGCCGCCCTGACATCGCCACCGCCCCGTGCGAACGAGTGATTTGAAATCGGAAAATAGAAGATCGCTCCGGAAGTCGAGATCGTGAATTCACAGTGAGGAAGACCCGGCGTTCCATCGATTTTTCTCTTTCGTTTAAGCCCTTTTTTGCCGTTTTCGCATAGGGAATAGGCCCGGCTAAGCAGTAATCTCGAAATCGAGTCAAACACTTCAACTGTACCCACTGCGGAATTTCTTTAGATGTCATATTCAGGGTTGAGCAAGAGGTCAGGCACAAGTCTTTCCAAAACGACCCCCCCCCCCCAGTGAAAGCCCCTAAACGACCCCTCTGCTTCACCTCCAGGACCTCAGGCTGTGTTAATTCGAAGAGATCAGCCGTTTTTGGGAAGTTCTTGTTTTTTGGAGGTCTGTAGGTCGACTTTCTGCGATTGCACAGCACACGCAACTAGACGGCAAGTTTTGGATTTTGGATAGCCCTACTTTTAGAGCTATAATTCCCACAGGGGTGTATTGTTTGGCTCCAAATTTGCAGTATTGCAAGAAGAGGCTTTGAGTTCAATACTCATAGCAGAAATGGAGCGATTTTTAGATTTTGAAAACAAGTTAATCGGGTCAGGCGCAACCCCTCAAAAGCTCAGGCGGCCTGACCTTTTATGGGGTTGCGCCTGACCCGATTAACTTTATCATTGAAGAAGCTTTTTTATTCAAGTTTTGTGTCAATCGCTAGCACAACCCTCGAAGATTCCACAGTAAGTGTTTGGAGTTGATTCGACTTGTTTCGGCCTTGTGGTAATCCGTGGAGTTGAAGCAGTCATGGAGAAAAACGCGCCGGTCGGAATTTTGGCATTATTTCTTACTCCACTATTTGCAAGCGATACAGAGCGCGATTTTTAGCCTAGACTAGTAGGGAACAATACTTTGTTACGAGTACAAAAAAATTGACTTTTCTCACTTTTGAAAACAAGTTAATCATGTTTGAAAATCACGCTCTTTAGTCGTTGAGAAACACTAGATAATGCAGTAAATAATGGTTTGTAGGTCTCATAGAGGTAATTTGACGTGCTCGGAAATGATACCATTTCACACAGCAAGCTTCCTTGATGAATTTATAATATGTCAAGGTAGAAGATGAAGATTTGAGTTTTGGCCGAAACTTCGATTGTGGAATCAATCAGTATGCTGTTTAAGACCGTTCATTCCTTCAGTACTGGTGAGGTCGCGATATCCAGTAAACTAGCGCTTTTCTTCTTCACCTTAATCGTAGTGTCTCCTCAATCGAACGAATTCGATTCCTAATCACGACCCCCCTCCCTCTTCTTACCCCAGTACGACCCCCCAGGTCGGGCGCGCCTGACCCCACGCTCAACCCTGGTCATATTCAAAAGGGGGGGGGGGGGGTGGTGCAGGAGGAACCAAATGGCTGCCGCCCGTATTACAGGATATAATAAATTGCGCGAGCGCTGTGAAGGATATTTTAGCAAGAATACAATAAAACTTGGTAAGAATATCTTTTAGGAACAATCTTTATAACTTTGCTCGAAAGTAACTAAAAAATTTGGAAAATAGATTTTTAATTGAATTTGGAGGGTGCATCAGTATTATTGAGCGTAAAAGTAAATCAAACTTCGAATCGTAGAGTTGAAAAATCAAATTCATTATAGAAACTACTCTGCTTGTGAACTTTGGAGCTCTAATTTTCAAAGATAGGTTTCATTCAAAATTTATTCTTTTTTTTTGAGATAAAGGTATGGTTTGTCTTTTAAGTCGATAAACCAGGTGCAATCAAAACGTCACAGAAAAAATCTAGTGGCTTGTATGCTGCACTATGCTCGTCTCGTATCTTCACTTCCTAGCTCCAATTCTGAGTCTTTTCGAAATTTCATATGTTTGGATAAAGCTGTTTCGGTGATACTCTCGGTGTCGCTAAAGCGACCTTGAAGGAAAATATGATTAGATCTTTTGTATATATATTGTTTTATTTATATTTCACTGTTTGTTTCGATAAAACCTTTTTTATGTAAGATCATTATACCGCAATGGAAGAAATCGGATAGACAAGTGAACAAGTCAGTCTCCCCATCATATCATTCCCTTGACTACAGAACCTCATTTGGCCGATCTCATTAACATATCAGTTGATAATGATTACATATACAGTCAACAATGATCGGGTATAAATACTGTTGGGTGAGTTAGGTGGGTTAGGCTTCTACAAGTTCATTCCACAAGTTGGGAGGTCATCCGAAGTTCTCCACAAGTTCTCCGTAAGAAGCAACATCATCACAAGTTCGGTAGGACTCTACTCTTTGTGTGTCGACTAACTTGTGTTCTATAGTAATAAAGTTTCTCGTTACCTTGAGGTAGCACACATTTCGAGACTAAGACCCGCGTGGCAGCATATTGGGCTACACATATATATTTTCTACAAGTGGTGCATCGGCTTAAAAGAAGAAGACTACTTTCAGTACCAGGTTAGTTCAAACGAACAAGTTTTGCGCAGCTGTTTCTCCAAGTTCTCTACAAGTGGTCCAGCTATTCGTAGCATACCGCAGTTATAAATTAGCTCGGAGTTCAGCGCATATATCCCCACTTCCCATTTTGAGCACAAATTCCCTACAAGTAGTCGATAGTAGGCGCCATCTAAATCACAACTTTGCTCAAGATGTCGATGAAAACCACGGTTTCCAAACGAATGCTGACTCAATACTCCAACAAGTTAGACAAAATCATTTCACAGTTCAAAGAAGAAGGAGTACACAAGCTTAGTACTTCCGAAACCGAATCAAAAACCATGGCCCAAGCGAGAGGCTACATCCAACGCCTGGAGGAAGCCATTGGCACTATCGAAGCTGCCACCTCCAAGGTCGAATACGCTCTTCAAGAGTACGGATCTTTGAGTCAGCCGGAACCGAACGAGCCAGAAGACTTCGAAGAGTACGTCACAAAAGCGGAGTCGTCTCTTGCAATTGCATTTGACTATGTGCTCACACTACAAGGCCGAAGTCGCGCTCTAAGAACAAGTATTACTAAGACAACCTCAAATCAGCATGAGGAACAGTGCGCCATTACGAACGTTCAGGCAAAGAAAGTGGAACTTCCTGTTATACCCATACCTTCGTTTGGAGGAGACATATGGGAATGGGACAACTTCTGGGAACTTTTTAGTACCAGCGTCCACTCACAAGACGTACCGGAGCTATACAAATTCCATTATCTTCTTAACGCTTTGAAAGGAGAAGCTCGGGAGTCAGTCAAGAAATTCCAGATTACAAGTGAAAACTACTCGAAAGTAGTAAACTTTCTCCTTCACAAATATGGGAATCGAAAAGAAGTCATACAACGTCTCATCAAGAAATTTGAAGAATGTTCTCCGAAATCGACTTCTCTGAAAGATCAAAGACCTCTTCTCGAACAACTGCAAGCGATTATGGCTCAATTGGAACATAAGGGAGAAAATGTTGATGGTCAATGGATACAAAAACAAGTGTTGTCAAAATTCCCTGTATATATCCAACGTAACGTTCTAACGAAGAAACAAGCTATGGAGAAACAAACACCGTTTCAAATGCAGGATCTCCTGAATTTCATTGATGAAGTCATAGCTTGCGAAGAGATGGTATCCTTATTCACAAGCAAAGAAACTCAACAAGCACAAGCTAGTCCTGTGAAGACAAAAACGCAAAAAGGACTCGCTCAGGATTACATTCGAGTGTGCATGTACTGCGGCGAAAATCACAAGTCCATCATGTGCACAAAGTACTCATCCCCAAGGACACGTTCACAATACCTACGGGACCACAATTTGTGTCTAATCTGCGCATCTCCGAAGCATACGAGCACCCAGTGCCTGAAGCGTAAGTGCTTCAACTGCCAAGGACCACATCACACGTCATGTTGTTTTGCTAAGGCACCCGTGGATACGACCTCATCACAGTTAGAAAACAGAGTGACTCAGAAGAACACTGAAAAACAAGTGCGATCAAAAACCTTTCCACGAATGAAACCGGCAAAAGAAGTAAATCATCTACTGCAGGAAGAAGAAAACACTGGAGAAGACGCAGCAGTTTACGAACTACGGTCCAATCCCGAAAAACTCGGCTCATATCAAACAACCTTCCTACCCACAGGAGAACTCACGGTACTAGACAAGGAGCATAATACACTGAGGAAAGTCTGCGTACTATTTGACACTGGTGCTGAGGCATCCTTCATAGACGAAACACTAGCAGACGATCTACAACTTCCTACGATTCGGAAACAAAATCTGCGATTACGTACCTTTGGATCCAAAAAGATACAAGAAAAATCCTGTTCCCTGGTGCAGTTGAAGGCGTGGGACACCAGAGGCGATGAGATCACGGTCGACCTCCTTACGCACGACATAATATCTAAAGCTTTTGAAAGTCCTGCATTATCCAACGAAGACATCAACTACCTTCGCGAAAAGAATATCCCGCTTGAAGCGATTGGGATCAAGAGGAAAGTGAAACCGCAAATTCTGCTGGGATGCGACAAGTTATGGTCCTTCATCAATATTGACAAACCTCATCTTCGCCTGCCCTCCGGGTTACATCTTATGGAAACGCAGATGGGCTATCTGGTATCGGGACAACTCATGCCAACAAAAGAGCACACCAATCTTGAAGAAGAAGACAAGTGGGATGGATACTGGACTCTACATGCACAAGTGAACGCGCTATCAACTGAAGAAGAAGAAAAAGACGAAGATGACGAACAAGCAAAGTGGGAGAAATTCTGGTCACTAGAAGCTGCTGGCACGGAAAGATTTTGTCATTCAGAAAACTTCGAACAAGCCCAAATAGACAAAAGCGTTTTACAACATTTCATGGAAACAATTGAAAAACGCGAAGATGGATACTATGTCCGACTACCATGGAAGGAACACGTATCAGATTTGCCGGACAACAAAGCTATAGCTCAGCGAAGGCTTGTTAGTCTCTGGAACTCTCTTCGTAAAGATTCGGACATGCTACACAAATACGACGAAGTATTTCAAGACCAGCTACGTCGTAACATCCTCGAATACGTCCCAGAAGAAGAAACAGACTATAAGCACTACAAACACATACATTACCTACCACACCAAGCTGTTATAACTCCTCACAAGACGACAACAAAACTGAGAGTGGTATATGACGCCTCTGCACATTATAAAAACTGCCCTTCACTCAATGACGCCCTACATAGAGGTCCAGTCATCCTACCGCAACTATTCGGAGTGCTATTACGTTTTCGAATGGGACGAATTGCCATGATCTCGGATGTAGAAAAAGCATTTCTACAAGTGAGACTCCACAAGGAAGACCGCGACGCAACCAGATGTCTTTGGCTTCGAAATCCCACACTACCCCCTACTCAAGAAAATGTGATAATTCTGAGATTCACAAGGGTGCCCTTTGGCTTGAATGCCTCCCCCTTTCTCCTCGCTGCAACTACACATTATCACCTAGACCAATACAAGAACCTTGCCAGGTTCACACAAGAGATAAAAGAGAACCTGTACGTTGACAACCTGATTGTCACTTTGGATACAAGGGATGAAGCGTCAGACTGCTATCACAAAATTAAACAAATGTTCAAAGAATTGAGCATGAACATCCGCGAATTCGTGTGCAACGACAAACAAGTAAGCGACAGAATTACAGGAACGGACAGATCGTCAGAATTCGTCCCAAAGGTATTAGGAATTCCATGGAATTCTCTAACAGATCAGCTCATAGTTTCGTGCAAGATTACCACCCCCACAGTGATAACCAAACGAACAGTCACAAGTGCAATAGCCTCCATTTACGACCCCATGGGATGGATGCTACCGCTGATGCACAAGTCAAAAGTATTCCTTCAATCAATGTGGAAGGACAAGTTGGACTGGGACACTGCTGTAACAGATATTCGCTTCGAGAAATGGCAACGGATATGCCAGGAGATGCAAGGTTTCAGCAAAGAAGTACCCAGATTTGTGGCCAAAAAACATGCGGAAGTGGACATAGCGGCATTTGCAGATGCCAGCACGGAAGCTATAGCCATGTGCATGTACTTGAAATTGAGAAAATCTACTCATCTTTTGCTAGCAAAAGGAAAACTGCCGTCACTCAAGTACCAGACAACAATACCAAAGTCAGAATTAAACGCTGTCACGCTAGCAATGAGAGTAATCAATTCAGCCGTAACCCAGCTATGCTCAATCGTAACGATCCGGAACGTGTATCTTTTCACCGACTCAGAGATCGTTTACAAGTGGATTAGGAGAAAAGAACATAGAGAGGCAGGAATAATGGTGGTTAATCGACTCAAGGAGATAATTGAAATAAACGACCACTTAACAAATAAAAGTATAGAAGTCCATTACGGTTATGTCCCTACTGATCAAAATCCGGCAGATTGCGGGACAAGAGGATTGAATAAAGAGCAACTGAAAGAGCATTACTGGTGGACCGGACCACCATTTCTGAAAAGCTCGCCAGAAGACTGGGTCGCAAACTACAAGTTATTTCGGATAAACAACGAACAAAATGACGATACTAGTCAACCAACAGATCCAGTACTCATTAATCAAGCTGAAACAAGTGCCAGTGTACAAGGAAAGCAAAACAAAGATATCCTTGAATGCTTGAGAGGTCGTCCATATACTGTGGTCAAGAGAGTCACAGCTACAGTTTTACGATTTCTGAAAATCGTATTGGAAAGGAGAAACAGACTTGGAAGCAATCTTCGATTTTCTCCATTGCTCGACAAGTACACTGCACACCCCTGCGGAGAACTCCACGGTGAAGAAATCACGATAGCGGAGAAGATCATTGTACGTGTCCACCAACGCACATTTTGCACTCCAGCAGTGTTGAAATCAGTACCTCAGCTAAACATAAAACAAGACGATGAAGGTCTCCTGAGATGCCATGGGAGAATGGGAAGAAGCTGCTTAAATGACACAGCAAAATTTCCATATATCATCCTTCAGAATACTTGGCTATCAGAAGCAATAATTAGAGAAAATCACCGCAAAGGACACCCCGGCATAGGCCATACAATGGCACTTGTTCGCCAAAAGTTTTGGATACCAAAATTACGAGCACAAGTTACCCGCTTCATCAAACGGTGTGTAGAATGCCAACGCTTCAACAATCGACCATACAAGTACCCTAATCAAAGTGACTTGCCACAAGTAAGGGTACAGCAGACGAGTCCATTTCAGCACGTCGGGTTAGACTACTTTGGACCGCTCACAATAAAAGGCAACGAAGACAACACAAGTAAATGCTACGGAGCCATCATCACTTGCATGGTAACTAGACTTGTCTATCTAGATGTAGTAACGGATCTTTCAACCATAGCCTTCCTAAACATGCTCCGACGATTTTTCGGGAGAAGGGGAGTCCCGAAGTCTATCACAAGTGATAATGCTCCCACATTTCTCTTGGGAGAAGAGATTTTGACAGGCACCAAAAACTTGCACCACGAGACAACAGTCGCAAGAGAGATTAGCGATCACGAAATCGAGTGGAAGCACATCACTCCATTCGCACCATGGCAAGGAGGATTTTATGAGCGCCTGATTAGATCAGTTAAATACGCGCTCTACAAAACTTTGAAAGGATCGACACCCACATTTGAAGAAATGTCAACTACTCTTGTTGAGATTGAAGCTTTACTCAATACGAGGCCTCTAGTTTATATAAGCTCGGATGAGTGCAACGAAACCATCATCAGACCAATTGACTTCGTGCAGAATAATATCACTCTCGATTATCCAATCGAAATAGCTACTTCAAACACGGATGACCCACCTTACTTGTCATCTGAGGAACAAATGGTACTTCGCACGAAGCTACAAACTATTCAAGCTCTAAAAAGCTCCCGCAAGTCTACTGACAAGTCCTGGGAAGTTTGGAAGACGCAATACCTCACAGCCTTGCGAGAGAAACACAAGTTGGAAGTAGGGCACAACAAGTCGAAAGCGCTGCCTCGAGAAGATGATTGCGTGCTCATTACGGATGCCGTCCAACCCAGACATTCCTGGAGAATGGGCCGTATAACAAAACTAGTGACAGGCGAAGATGGCGAAGTAAGGGAAGCAGTAGTGATCCTCCCATCAAGAAAACAGATACGCAGACCAGTGAATCTCTTGATACCCCTTGAATTGGAGGACAGAACTGCAAAAGAGGCCAATCTGAACAAAAATCAAAATCAGAAAGAACCATCTCAATCCAAGTACAACTTAAGACCACGCCAAAGAGCTGATCGCAATGTAGTAAGCAACGCTCTACACCTCCGAATGTCTCCATATATCACGCTAGTTGTTAGCATTTTATCTCTGTGTAGATTCTCACAACAAGTATATTTGTCAAAAGACAAAGAGTGCTACGTAGCTACGCCTCTGCTTTCAGTACATATACGTGTGACATCCTACGCTCACAAAGCATTCGCCTGCGAACTCTTCTGCCAAACACAAGTATCGTGGTCTCCAAGAGCCAAACTCGCAGTACTGTTGTGTTCCTGCGCAAACATGGCGCATTTAAACTATATTCAAAGAATTGAACCAAACCAAGACGAAAAGTCACTGATCAGAAATCAGTGTAGCACAATAAGATACAACATCACCTGTATGACACACATTAAAGTGAAACTATCTATTTTCAGCATGTCTCTCGGAAGCATCGACGACGACATCAGATGCCTGATGACCCTAACTGGAGAAAACTCGAAGACCGCCTTACAAGAACACCTCAGGCTAAGTAGAGAAGCGATATGGCGACAAGTAGTTGCCGCGGATTCTATCAGAGCAGACTTTGAACACCTTAAGAACGAAGAAATTTTTGAAGGTGATCCACGCGAACAACTATTAGTGACAACTCGACTACACCTTGCCGCAAAAGTAAACAAAGAACGCTACCTTACTCTGTGTACCCGCTACTGCCTACTTTACAAGTGTTATACTCTCCAATCACATCAAGAGCGACAAGTCAATGTGCACGATTTCCAAGAACTCCCGCTAGAGGAGATGAACAAACAAGTAAAAGCGATGGAAAAGACCGCACAAAAGATAGAGAGAAAACAACATATCGCCGAGGGGAAGCTTCGCTCCGTAGCGAATAAGAACGCAGAAGCAGACAAACGCATCATCAGGATTCTCAACGACAAGTTAGCGGAGTGCGAGCTAGAGAATTTCCAGCTGAAAGCTAAGATAGCTAAGTCGTCCTCTGAGCCACAGCGCATAGTCACAAGTTCACATCTGGGATGTCAAGCCGCACCTGTAGTATCAAGCGTTGAGTCTCAGACGGATGAATTTGATTTCGAACATGCTTTCAAAGCAGCAGGGACCAAGGAGGCGTCAAGAGGGCACGAGATATCCGAAAAGGACGACTCGCTTGTCTTGTTGGACGAAGATGGCCCCAACGAAGAGGAACCAGTGACTGATGAAGAATATTTAGGCCGCTTAATTAGCGAAGCTGAGGGCAGAGACGAACCCGAAAAGGAGCCGAAAAGGGAGACTGTCGAAGACGAAGAAGTACGAAGAAAACAAGAAGAGTGCAGGATGCTTATGGACGAGATCGACGAGCTTGATCAAATGATACATGTGTACCCGTATCGGAGATACGGCGAAACAACGCGAGGTACTCATGTAGAATTGCTCTGTGCTTTCTGTAAAGCTTTTGGCCTCCATTATTCGGATTCTTGCCCCTTCGTTAGAGACGGTAATGAACGTTACGAGCTGGCACGAAGGGAGAATTTATGCCCTATGTGTCTGGAAAAATGTCCACCAGGAAGGTGCCAGTTTCGACCGCGGCCCTGCTTTTACTGTGAAAAAGTGAAAGGCACAATCGCAGCCAGATTGATGCCACGAGACTCAGGACACCACAAGTCTCTGTGTAGTGTACCTGATAAGAAGGAAATTCTGAAGAGATGGGTGGACGATGCAAAGGAGCGGTATATTCGTTTGAAGAGGGAGATCACGAATATGAAAGGACACAGAAGAGAGAACACATTCTGAGGCGGGAGTGTCGCTAAAGCGACCTTGAAGGAAAATATGATTAGATCTTTTGTATATATATTGTTTTATTTATATTTCACTGTTTGTTTCGATAAAACCTTTTTTATGTAAGATCATTATACCGCAATGGAAGAAATCGGATAGACAAGTGAACAAGTCAGTCTCCCCATCATATCATTCCCTTGACTACAGAACCTCATTTGGCCGATCTCATTAACATATCAGTTGATAATGATTACATATACAGTCAACAATGATCGGGTATAAATACTGTTGGGTGAGTTAGGTGGGTTAGGCTTCTACAAGTTCATTCCACAAGTTGGGAGGTCATCCGAAGTTCTCCACAAGTTCTCCGTAAGAAGCAACATCATCACAAGTTCGGTAGGACTCTACTCTTTGTGTGTCGACTAACTTGTGTTCTATAGTAATAAAGTTTCTCGTTACCTTGAGGTAGCACACATTTCGAGACTAAGACCCGCGTGGCAGCATATTGGGCTACACATATATATTTTCTACACTCGGAGTTCTATACAAAAAAAGCTCAATATGATTTAGTAAGCCTGAATATTTATCCTCCGTTTACTAACATTTTTTTTATTTCGAACAAACTTATGAAATTTTGCTGCAAAGTTTACTAGAAATCTACCTGAAATTCCCCAATGAGTATGCCGAGTTTCTGAAAGTTCAGTTCATCTCCAATATATGTAGAAATGAGCTAAAATAGCAAGATAAAGGTGTTTATCTATTGCATGAGCGTGCACTGAAAAATGTGCCTTTCAGTGCTGATTCCAATTCTGTTTCTTTCAAAGTTATTTCCAGCAGAGTTATATGGTATTTGCAACGCATATTCTTGCCAAGTTTTGATGGATCTTTGCCAAAATGCCACAGCGCTCGCTCCCTTATTATCTCCTGCAGTCATATGCAGTCATATGCGGCAGGCCTCGCTCTCCTCCTGCATCGCATCGTTCCCAAAGTCCCAAAGCGACTCGTTAAAAAACGCTAAGATAATTGCTGGGAAATACAAGCTTTCATTTTCACCATATCTGAATTTCGCTAATTTTCAAAATTTTCATCTGAGGCTTTTGGAAATGCTCTGCTAGCCAGCTGTTAGGTCAAACATTTTCCAAGTTGAAGCAATTGTTTGCTATTTTCTGGACTGTCAGAATTTCTAAAACATATGTTGTGAAGAGACCAAATTTTATAATCGACCTATTCTGCCTCGTAGAACTAAATGGCAAACAACTCAGGCACCATTCTCTGCAACATTTTTTTCTTTTTTTGACAGTTGTTTTTTCTTGGCAAGAAGGCGAAATTTGCGGAACCGCTATTTCTCAATTTCAAGAGTGCGCATTGACGTACCCTATGTTCTAAAATCTTCATATTTTGAAGCGGGAATCGCTCTACTTTACTTACTCTCATTACTTTGTAAGGTTAGTAATAGCAATAATTGACTGTTAAAATTTCACTAATCTGAAGATTTTGCCGTGTTTGATACAGGAACAGCTTATGCGACTTTTCCAAAACTCAAGATTTTTGGTGAATTTTTTAGAAAAATTTCAAATGAGAGTCTGAGAAAAGACAAAGTTCTCCCTCAGCTGGCGAAATTTTGTCTTATCCGTTGGCTATCTAAACTTTTCCAAAGTTTCGAATAAAAATTTGAAACTTGGCGAAAGAAACATAGTAAAAATCAAAGGCCTCGCCCAAAGGATTTCATTAGAGATATGGCAGCTGGACAGAAAGAAATTCTGCATTGGATACTGCGCGAAATCGTTGATCATCTTTATTCCACCGCATTTAGGGACAGATTCAAGAAACTGATAAAACTTCTGCGCCTACTTATTGTTAGTACATTCTCGACTGTCCCTCTCCTCTCCTCCCCTCTCCCATTCTACTTTCCAACCTCTGTAGTTGCCGCGAGTGCTCATCGTCTCCCTAATTCAAGTCTCTGCAAAGTAACAACCTATATGTTTTCGATGTAGGAACAGTTATTTGGAAACATCTGCATTACTACTGTTGATTCATCCTCTAATGTGATGTTTTTCGCATTTCGCCCTTATCTTTGACTTCTACTTACTCTAACATTATCTTTTCTGCATGTTTTGTCGAAATTCAAGCTAACCTTCAAAATTTGTTTTTGATCACTTACGCAGAGAGCGGAGTTGGTAACGAGATTTCGATTTATGGCAGAAAGAAGCAAACGTATTGAGTTGCCATTGTGAAGTCAATTCCTGCGGATCAGAAAGGAAGTACAGCTCAGACTATACGACTTCGGAAATCGTATTATTCCTCTCAGTTTCAAATTGAATTATTTGCATTTGTTTGTGTGGTTGAGCAATTTTGCCAGTTCTACAGCAAAGATGAATTCAGTAGTTCGCATTGTTTTGCTATTGTAGGAATGTGCAGATGTTAGCATCAGATGAGTGCATATAAGTAGTTCTTCGAAACTTTTACAAAGTGTTGATACCCAACGGATAGGGCAAAACGTTATGCTAAATAAAGCAAATTTTCGTCCTTCCTCAGCTGAATATTGTTATGAAATGTTTCCGAGTAATTTTCCAGAAATCTCGGGTTTTTGAGAGGTGGCACAGCACGAACTGTTGGTGTATCAAACACTGCAAAATCTTTGGAATAGTGAGATTTTAACAGTCGGTTATTAGTATTACTAACCTTACAAATTAATTAGAGTAAAATAAAGCAATTTTCGCTTCAATACAAGGATGTTTTTTTACTTGGTCTTCTCCTTGAACCTTGCAAAAACGATACCTCCTTTGCTTGTTATCTTCAAAACGATATTATCTTGAATATTAAACCATCTGTGCCGAGCTATGAACTTGAATCTTTTATTGTTGGAAAATTGCATTCATCAAACTTGAAATATGGCTTTTTTATAGCGTCATACGGAAATTTTTCGAATGGATGTAAAAGGCAAAGATTTTTTGACTCTAGTTCAACGTCAAAACTTTCTAATTTGCATTAATTGTTCAACGCAGACGCCTCTCTTAACAAACTACAACAGGTAACTTTGAGTGCTATATCAAGAAAAGTACGCGAGAGTAGGTGAGTTGCCAGTAGCTTAGTGACATTCAAGACATGCATTTTTAATGACTCAATTTGAAAAGTTCGTAAGTTCACATGGTATAGATATGGTAAAGGATATATAAGCTTCTGCAAGACGAAGGCGGTTGGTCGAGGTGCGACGTGGCTGTGACGCGGCTGTGACGCTGCTGTGACGCAGCCATGTCGCAGCCGCGTCGCACATCGAACCGACCGCCTTTGTCTTGCAGGAGCTTATAGTAGTGGTATAGGAAAAAGGCCTGCGTATTCAAATGAGACACAAGGAATGTTTTCTCCTCGCTGTTAATCTTGTTCATGAGATGAAATATCTGAAATGACACTTTGCTACTTTTTATCACCGTGAAGTGCTATCTGTCTTGACAGAATAATTTGCGATGATGAGGACGTGTCTCAGGTCCGAACTTAGGACAAGGTTCCATATAGGAGGCACTGATCATTGCCAACAAGTATAACAATGACAAATGTCCCTGTATTGAAGACGTGCCGTGATATGGAAGCATTTGCAAAGTTTTTCCTTTCAAAACCACCGGACATATACAGTTGTGACCGTAGAATTTGTCCAAAATTGCGGATTTTCGGGATTCGCGGGATTTTCGGGATTCGCGATGTTTGCGGGATTCGCGACTTCACGGGATTTGCGGGATTCGCGGAATTTGCGGGACTT